CACCAAACTGGGAAAAAAGAAAGACACACAGAAAAGAAAAAAGAAGAAAACATTTTCCTTCTGGGTAAAAAAAAGCCTCCTTAGAAATCTGTGTTCAGCAGACCTTCTAATATATATGGGTCAAGAGATGGTCTCATAACACAGTTCCTATAAATGTAACAGCTTGTGTACTAGCAGACAGGGCCTCCATTAACTTCAGGCAGAAGTTAACACTTACCTTTTACTAAATTTTGTCCTCAACTGAATTAAAATATTTCTATATCTGCTGATCACTAGTTTCTGAGAAGATTTTTTTTCCTGTCATATTAAATAATCTATGCTCTTTGTAAAAAAGATATCTTATTTCTTTCATATTGTGGAAGCACAATAATAATCAGTAATCAAGATTTCCTCTCCCATTAAGGAGACTAATATTTCAATTGCTCTGTAAAGAGCACAAAGCAACCAAAAAAAACCCTCTCTTAACAGTTGGAAAATTTTATGGTTTTTTATTTAATTAGCTTCACATAATTTGCCAAGTCCTAAAGGCCTCCATGTTACACACAGCAGGAGGTGAGCTATTCCCCTTTTCAAACTCATGTTTTTCATCTGCAAAGCTCTCCTTCTCTCCAGGAACTTTGCTTTCTTCCTGAGCTCTGAGCCCCATAAGCTGAAGGGACCTCACAAACTCTCCCTAGATAAGGCAAGCACTTGTTTAGTAGATTCACTGCATTGAGGAACTCTACACAGCAGGGAGAGCAACAAGGGAAGGAGCAGCAGATGCTGATGAGAAAGGAGAAATATGCTATATTAAAAGATATTGGAGCAAGGATGGAGATCTGCATTTACCAGAAGTCTCCAAGGGAGAAGAAACCTCCATGGGAAAGATAGAGTCCAACAGACTCAAAGTGGAGGGATTCAGTATTGGAAAAGAAACAATAAAAGGGAAAAAGAGAGGGAATAAGCAGATCAGAATAGCAAGACCAAGTTAACAAAACAGAGTTTCAAAGGCACATTACCCCAACAAAGCCTTTTGATCCTTTATTTGTAGGTTACATTTCTTTTATATTGAATGCAACCTTTGTTTGTAGGTTGCATTCAATATAAAATATCTAATATGGTCACTTGAGTTAAACAAAATTAGAGAACTACTTACATGTTTTTGCCGTTGTTGTATAAAAAACTTTTTCCTTTTAAAGGAAATTTTTAATATGTTCACCCTAAAAGAAAGAAACAGGCCATGAAATATCAAGCAATGTGATAAACAATGAAAAATAATACTGTGTACAGTGAGTCTGAAAGATTATAGCTGTAAAATATTCAATGAATAATATACAGCCATCACCTGTGTTGAGTGGCAAATAGATGTCCTGGTTTAATCTTTAAATAGTTCACAGCAGTTCTCTCCCACCAAATCTATTATTGCAGCAAAAAACTCGATGACATCTTCTACACTAAGCTGCACAAATGTTAAATGTGTCAACTTTTGTATAACTTTAGAGTCATATGACAACTGTGACTAAAAGAACAAAATGTAAGACCCTAATGACATGATAATGTTGGTCTTACAACAACTGAAACTTTGCAGAGGCTTTACAGAATTGGTTTCATAATATGAAAGATATCATGTACTTCTGTTAATCACTAAACAAAATCTCTAGATAAAATCATAATTTTAAAAGGATGAAAACTGTAGGAATGAGTGTTAATATATTTTTCACTTCATTAACATTGCTATGAAATTTATGTGGTAATTTTAGAATTGAACACTTTTTTTCATATACACAGTGTGAATATATATTTTCTAGGGTAAAGATAACAACTGGAATTGGTGCTAAAGCAATTTTCATTTTAATTATATGCTTATCAGTTTTGCTAAATTAAACAAACTTCTACCCACCTGCACACCTTCCCATAGCAAAACAAGATTTGTCAAAAATACCTACATTTTCTCTGCAACAGTTCTACTTCAGTAACTGAAAACCTGCATTTTTGGACAAAGAAATCTTTGATCTATAGTCAGCTGGAATCTTATGGAGGCCTTAAGGAAACCTATTTTGGGTCAGATCAAATAATATTTTCCTGGAAATAAACTATGAAAGTGTTTTGTAAATTTACTGCTAAACGTCTGACAATATTTTCATGAACTGATGCTTCACAGGATGTTAGTTATCAGGTATGAACTTTGTTGAAATTTCTCTCAGTTTGGCACAATTTTTGCATCACTCTCATCAAGTGGGATGGCATAAAAACTCTTTCCCCACTGTTCATAGGAGAGGCACTTGAGTTACAGAGCAACATCCTTCATGGATACAGGAGAATATATTTGTCAGTTACTAACAAGAATATTAATGGAATTACCTATCCCTCTCCCTGCACAAGAAGTGGAAAACAGTGTGTGCCGTTTTCAGAAAATGCCTTTCTCCATCAATTACAGAACCACAAAGAAATATGTATTTCAACGCTATTCTTTGACAAGGCAAAGTGGTGTAAAAATTAATGGAAAATTGAAATCATATCCACCTCTCCTGTTAGGCCAACTCTTAAAATACTTGTGCCATTTGACTTGCTACCTGAAACATCAGTGATCTGTGTTGCTCATCTAAAAAGTCTTGATTCTGAATTACATGACAAGTAATATAAATTTTCAGTTGTATTTCCTGAGCTGCAATTCATTGTATATTAATTCTTTCTTGATTCTAATACTTCTCTGCCTCAACTAGTACCACACAAATTTTGTACTTCTGGTTCTTTCTTGTCACATTTCTTGACTTAGACTAAATTTCAACAAACAAGTTTTTGGAGTTATTCCAAAGTTGCCATCATGGTCTGGTCTTACCCCAACACTGAGCCAGCTGAAATGCAGGACACAGAAAACTAACCTTGCAGACTAAGTGAAAAACCCTGCAACCAACAACAAAAAGGGAGCCAGCATCCTAAAGCACCAGAACTACCCGTCACTCTCCACTACCCCATTTTACTAAAAAAAAAACCCAAAACAAACAAAAAACTACCAAAACCCCATCAAAACCAAAACAACCCCCACAATTCAGTGCATGACCATATTATCACTTTAAGCCAAATCAGGGCATTAAATATCATTACTTTGACACTTTCTAAATAGAATACCCCTCAATTCCATTCATTCTTCTTAAAGTACATCTAAACCTATTTAGTTCAGGCATAAAGAACACATGCTACTCTGACATTTTTATTTAACAATAACTAAAAGTTATTTGCAACATTATAACTACAAATGGACTGAATGTTCACATCTAGAAAAATCTAGAAAAAAATCTAAGAGATTAAGGTGTCAAAGCACTTAGACGTAACAATTTCTTGAAGATGCCATACCCAAAAATTGTATTAATAGAATGCAGTTACTGTTATTATAACTGATGGCTCAGTGGCCCTTTTCTCTCACCAATAATCTGTTCCGTGACTACGCAGCATTCACAAATCATTAAATTTCATGGTTTACTTAAAAAGCATTCACTAGCTGTAGCACATTAAGAATGATGGATCTTTTGGGTCTCATCTTCCTATCATTCACAAGCATCAAAATAGATTTGTCACTCCGTGGGCCACGGAATTGCTAATTTTTGATTAAACTTGCAGTCCTGCCCCAGAACTTAGTACTAACAGCTGGTACTTGTGACTTGAAGCAAAGAAGTTTCTTTACCTGTAAATCCTACACTTTGCCACCAAAAGAAGTTTTCTGTCCAATTTGCTATGCAAGATATTTGTTTTCCAAGTTTTAACTAGCAATGTATTATGCATTCCTCAAGCAGTTTCTCTGAAGTTTTCAAAGCAGTGAAACTGCACACAAAATAGCATTTAATACCTAACCTTAGTTGCTGCTGATATAGTGTTTGTATGTTTTTGCCATTAATATTTTACTTGCAAAATCATTTGGAAATTACCACAGAACAGTTAAAAATCCTTGAGAATAACTCTGCAGAGTGCATAAAATACTGCATTAAATCCAAAGCTATTTTTTAAACCTATCTTGACTTGCATTGCCGCTGACTGATCAGTCAGCTCTTTACGTAGGTTGCTTTGATTGAAAAGCATATTTTTGCCAAGGCAGAACTCTCTCACTGCCTCTGTTCCTGCAAACTTTTGGTCCCCTTTGACTACTACCATATGGCATAGTTGTATTGTTGTCATCCACTGCAGAGTATTTTACTTAAAATTTTGGAAAGAGTGCTTTGGTGGTGTTTGCTGCCACCTTGAGTTCTAAGTCATTAATGGGGAAGTTTGCAACAGTCTGTAGGAAAAATGACTTGATACAAATGGTGTTCCGAAAAGAACCTAAATAAACACTACTTCAGGCATTACAGAAATGTATCCTGCTTTGAGATCTAAAATAAAAGTGAGAATCCATACTACAAATAAATCCCAAGCAACTCTGGTCTGGTGGGTTTTCATTGTTTGCTTGTTTTGGTGGGATCAGGAAATAGACAACATTCCTGCACAAAGATGTATTATAAACTCATGCAAGATAACAGAAATAAAATATCAAAAAGTCAACCCCTGTGTAGGGAGCTTTTGCTTTCAAGATGAAAATAAATTTTTAGTGAGAGAGAGGGAGAGAGAAAGTACTCAAGTAGGAAAGCTTGGAGCAACTGCATGAGCTGTTGCTGAAAATATTACTGCCTAAACCTCATATTTTAGAGTGGGAATTTGAAATGAAAAACCTGCGGGTTTTATTTCCCTCATTTTTTTTCTGTAAATAAAACTAGGCTTTTGAGAAAAATGTTTTAGCATCTGTGTTATTCCTCTGTGCTCTTCAGGAGTAAAAGTAGCACAGGAAGTTGTAGATTCCTCCAGCCTTGTGTGCTATAAACTATCTTTCCCTTCCTTGAAAAAAATCATGTAGTCACAGATTTTAAAATGCCATTACTCTGTGATTTTCAGGAACAACTGTTATCAATTCATATCTTACTTAGGTCAACTAAGTTGGCAGAACAAGACTGGCAGAAGACAGAAAATGTGCCTCCAGCTGGCAGTTTTTAAACCTGCAGTGGTTCAAAGAAGCTGAGAGGCTGATGTATGAAAGAGCAGCACTTAAGGCAAAAAGATGAAAGGTAAGTCTTTTATGCTTCAATGTGCATTAGAAATGGAAAAATGCAAGTTTTGACTGTGCTGCTGCATGAGAGCATTATTACTGACATGCATTTATCCAGGATTATTGCAGTATATACCAGCAAGTTGAAATGCAACTCACAGCAAAGAAAAAAAAAAAAAAAATCCAGAGACCATGCAGTATATTTTCCCAGAGAATTTAAATCGAAACTGAATTTATTGCTTTTCTATAGGAAATAGCTGTTTAGTTGGGTTCATAAATGAAAGGATGGAATGGCACTAGTATTTAAAGACTAGAGCTAGTGAGCTTTTTTTTTTTTTGTATAATTAAGGGTCAAAAGCAAGTTTGGAATGTATTGGAATGCATTTTTCTGTCATGATTAAGAACACTGTACTATCTTACTGAAAAAGTTATCTGAAAAATTGTTACAAATTCAACAAAGAACTCACGCATAACATGACAAAGCTATAATTTTATCAAGCATAAAAAAAATTACATACTTAGTTTAAAAAAGAAAGACTGGAAAAAAATGAAAAAAATTCTTTCTGATCCAATCCAAAACCCCTTAAGGAAATGCCCAACCTCCATATAATTTCTTATTCAGGTTATAATTTTTAGTATGGTATAACTAATGAAGCCCAAAAGCACTTTAAAAGAGTTATTGCTTATGTAACTTCTCGTGTCATTCACAATAGAGTTCTTGTGCATATTATTTCTTTGCAGAGGTTATTTTCTACAGCATAATCATGTATTCTAATGTTTTATGTATCAGAGAAGAATGTGAAGGTCTCTCACCTGCTTGTTAATGTTATATACCCATATTTGACAAGATTTTAAAATTTCAAAATTATATTGTTCTATTTCCTGTAAATCTGAAACTCCAAAAACCTAATTTATATTTATACTCCAAGAAGTGAGTATCTTCTTGCTGAATGCCATGTTAAAAAGTCCAGACTGAACTTAATTCAGGCTGAGTTAGGGGCTGAACTTTAATAGCAATACTGATTGATTTTGTTTGTTTTTAAAGAGACATATTATTGAGCATAACAGCAGAAAATCTTTAAGACCACAGGGTCCTCCTAATAATGTACTCATACTGGTACATAAATTAACTTGATCAAGACTTCACACAGCACAAGGACTTTAAAAACCTTAAAGGTATAAAAGGCTAGGCAAGTTTTCATTTTTATCTAAGCACAAGAAAATACCACAATATTCCATAAAGAACAGATATATGTATTGTAGGCTTCTTTGGAATAAATGTGAAAGCAAATGAAAGATTTAAAAAACTAGAAATATTTCTTTACAATACAAGAATTTACCAGGGATAGAAGCTTGTACAGATGAGTTTTCTATACACAGCAATTCCACCAGATGCAATCCCAATCATGAGATCTAGATTATGGAGATCCTAAAAAAGAAAAATACTGTAAGAACACAAATGCAGTTTATGTCATTCACATTTATCTACTAATAAATTTATTTTCAAGCTTTCTATATGTAAATCGCTACACTTGAGGAACAAAAACATTTTTGAGTTTTGATTTTTGTCCATCTCTTTCCTTTGATGTTATCTATTACACACTTTACATATTATTCATTCATAAAAGTTGTAATGTTCATCCTACTACCCTGGATGTTCCTTAGGTCTGTATCAAGAGTAAATTTGCAAGTCTAGCCTTATTAATTTCAGGAAAGAAGCTGAAATACTCCCCAAGATTAGTCAGGTAAATGTCACAGAATTTTGGGAACTGAACAAAAATTGCCTGATTATATGCTGTTTAAAAAAAGAGAGGAAGTAATTCCTTACTTTTTTCCTAAAAGGTCTTACCAAGAAAGACTGCACAGGAGGTGACCACAATTTTGCATATGAGAATATGTTGGAAAAATACATGTGCACATGAATATTTCATACACTAAATTAAATCCATTATTAACTAAACCAAAAGGTATGCAGTAGCTTAACACATGCAACTGGGAAAAAAAAAAATCATAATTTTATAATCCTGTCTAGGTACTGAGATACTAAAGAGAAAATACATTCTCCCATAGAAGCAAATATTTGAGTTAAAAAAACAAACAAACAAACAAACAAAAAACAACAACAACAACAAAAAACCCAACAACAACAAAAAGGCAGAGAGGAGGATGCTGGATCGTCATTTTGAGCCTAAATCCAGACTGATGTTAAAGAAGTTACAAACCTTGACTTCCCATTTCCTATGATCAATACACAATAATGTGTTATTACATAGATTTCTAAACAGAGATAAATGTATACCCAAATCCACATGTAGTAGAATCCATTGTTTAAAGTATCAGTTTTGACTCAAAAAGCAGTTTCAGAGTGTTTTAGGACAGCCAATGGTAACAGATTCTCTTAATGCCTTCAGTAGCGCAGTTGCTCCTCTAGATGGTACTCTGGGCTCAATTAATATATGGCTTTCCTCCATGTCCAATCCCAATTTCTTTATATTAATAAGGTACAGAGCATGTACTCTGGCAATACTGTAGAAAGTCTACAATAAATCCTTTAAAAACAGTTGAACAGAAGTGTGATACAGGCCCATGAATGAGAGAAGTCCAACCTAATTTGCAAAGCATAATACAGGAATCCAGAGCTGACATCCCAGTATTTTAATACCTGGGAAGAACAAGGTATTCAGGAGATTAACTGCCTACAGTTTAGCTGTTTCTGCCTGATATGGCCAACCTAAAGCAGGGTAGAAAATTGCATTATTAGCACTTTGAGCTTACTCCAGGTTCCTGTTTTTAAAAATCAATACTATGAAGAAAAGAATTTTAAAAGTAAAACCTTAAAATCTACATGATTAAGTAGAAATAAAGGATTATCTAAAACACTTGATAGGGATTAATTAGGCTAAACTTCCAGAAGCTTTGTCAGAACAAAGTTCATTCCTTACCCTCCTCTGCACCAGCCCAAACCACTAATCTCCATGTTATTTGTTATTATGAATTTTCTTGTATTGAGCCTAAGAAACACAAAAATCAAGATGCTGGAATAGCATAAAGAGAGGGTCTCTTATATGAAATATGATACTGATGTACAGTTATTTCTCTTGCAAAACATCATGTTAAATAGCATAAAAAAGAAATAACATACATATATTTATTTTAAAAACAGGTAACACGAAGATAATAATAAAAAGGTTGTAAAGAAAAAAATTATAATGCCAGGCATCTAGCTAGTTAAGTACTGATTAACATTTGATTTAATTTACAATTACCATTTTGATTTTTGTAGATATGGAAATAATATTGATTCAACAAATTTTCTATCTTCAACTCTGAGTAAAAATGAAAGATGAGTTAACAGTAAATTAATTATTGAGCAGATGGGATTGTGGTCCTGAGTGAAAAGGAGAATAGAAATTCAAGATATATCAATATAGTTTTAAGATATTGAATTCACTCTCTTGAGTCTCCTAACACTATCGCATATTTTAATATTTTAGCAGTTCAGTTTTTAATCAAAAAAAAGCAGAATTGTTTGCACATGAAAACTGAGCTCAGATTGAAATTGCATGTTTAGTAAGTTGCTAAAAAGAAAGCTCACAGTTACATTAAATATTTAACTTTCTATCATAAAACAAAAAAAAAAAAAAGGAAGCTATATATCCATCTGCTCTTTAAGAAACATTATCCAAAAGTATCCCACTCTCAACCACCAGTACAGGAGCAGCAGCTTCTTTGGGCCATTAGTATAAAAGTCAAGTGTTTCCTGGTTATTCTGACACGCAATCTAAGAGGAACAAGATCATCAGAACCCACAGAGCTAAAGGCTTGCACAGAGACACAGTTTAATTAGCCCCTGCTAAATCTGGTCAAGGCACTGGGATGTGACAGAACTGGAAGGATGATTTAAAAGCAGTACTGAGAGTGGGGAAAATATCAGGAGGCACTGTAAAAATCCCTGCCAAAGCAGGGGCAGGACATAGTAGCCTCTGTGAAGAAGCAGCTTATAAACCTTCACTGTAAAATTCTTACAGGCCTGTGGGAGCAAGATCAACCTCGTGTTGGTTGAGAGGTTTGCCCCATGGCATTCAATCCAAACAGGGACTTGCAACTGATGTTTTGGAAAGACAAAACTTCAGAGACAACCAGCTACACCCTAACAACTCTTCTTCTCAGCTTCAGGTCATTCACAGCTAGAGGATTTCCTGGTTTAGAAGCTTCTTTTATGTTTAATGGACTGCAGTGACTGACTGCTCCTGATAGCTATTTCACCTTGGGCATCCATTAAATCAGAAGTAAAACTTACAGTTCAACGACAGCCTTCCGGGAAAAGTGCCTTTACTAAAACCTGTTTCTTTTTAGGTAGACTGAAGGTCTTGGCTATTCACATTCCCCATGCTGTTCACCTGCTACAGAAGGCTTTTCCTTAAAACAGTTATGATTATTATCCTTCTCTGTACTTTCGTTTTTCCATTACCTACTCTGAGACAAGGAAGGGAGAGGAAGAATGAAGCTCAACATTCAAATTATATCAAAACTTAGTTTGAAAGGTGGCATGATATTTTCTGGTTTGGGTTCCATTTCCTTCCTAGCAGCTTCTAAATGTTTAGATGTCTAGTTCAACTGCTAGAGAAACCAGATCAAATATTTCTTCCTTAAAAAAACTGAATTTTGATAAAACTATTATTTTGAATTGAAACAGAAGCAAAATGGTCTACAGCAAAATTTAATTTAGCTGAAAATGTCTGAATCCAGTCTATTATCACTACTTGACTTGGCACTGGTAAGACCACTACTGACATCCTGCATGCAGTTCAGCAGCCTGCAGCTCAGGAAGAATAATGGAAATTAAAAGAGCTTGCAGAAAAAACATCCCATTAATATTAAGAGACTGGTCTCATAGCAGAAATCTTAGCACTCATGTTGGCTTATCAAAATACTAGGCTATAAGAGAAGTTTAAAGAAAAATATCCAATCAAGTGCATATAGTGATCTCAAGTGTAACACTAAGAGCTTCTTCAATAAAGTAGAAAGGTGACAGATGACCCAATGAACAGACTACACAAAGTCAGATTTAATAAGATCATTTCCTTTCCTTTCTACTTTTCTCCATTATTAAAAAAAGTGTCTATCTTTTGAGTGCTGTATTTCATGAATATGAATGTAATTACAGTGGCGTCATACAGAAGTACTTTAGGAATTTCTAGAAATCCAATGCAACACTCACTTATTTGTGGCAGCATAAAGAAAAACAAGAAAATATGCTGAAGGAAGCAAATTATTAATTCTATTTCTTCCTCATCATTAAAGAAATTAATGAATTTTTCATTATAACTCTTAGTGTCAGGATTATTAACAAAAGTCAAAAAAATGTTAAGAAAACTAGAAGTCATCTTCACCTAGGAAATCAATTATCTGTAGTAGACTTCCTTTTTACATGACAAGCCTTACACCAAAACAATTTACTATTGCAAAGAAGCACTAAAGGTACCGTGCACATTAGGATGCAAATAAAAAAGCATTTTGGAGATGCACTTCAGATCAATAGTGTAGCCAAAAAATTAAATTGCAGTAAACAGTGAAATACTAAGACATGTCTCTTATCAATGAACACTCTGTAGGTGAAATATTTCAAATATATTTTTAGTGGTCATCTTTCAGGTTGTTAAATACTTCTTAGATTTAGCCTGGAATCAGGGAACACAGGAATTTAAAAAAAAAAAAAAAAAAAAAAAAAAAAAAAATAAAA